AAAAAAAAAAAAAAAAAAAAAAAGGAGCCAGTTCAGCATTTTCTTAACTTTAGAGGAAATCACTGGCACCCCTTCCTGCAGAGTTTGGCTAGCTGTTGGAATGTTCTGTCATTCTGCAGATTTGTAGTGGAAAGTAGTGGAGATGTTACTGAAGTCCCATTGTGTGCCAGGTGCTACTCTGGGCACTTGGGTGCCTGCCAGTTGACCCTCACAATGACCCTGCCAGATCGCTAAGGCAGGATGAATAACTTGCCCAAACTCCGTAGCTAGGAGCTAGACCCAGGATTCAAATGTTTCTGACCAAAGTCCATGCCATTTGCTGCATTTCCCTGCTTCAGGCCTGTTCCATTAGGTTTTGGGAGGAGGGAGTGGTTACCATCTGAGGCTGGGTCAGTAACCACTTTCAGCCTTCAATCAAGGAGCTTTCTTGGCTGGCACAGTGGCTCATGCTGTAATCCCAGCACTTTGGGAAGCTGAGGTGGGCACATCAGTTGAGGTCAGGAATTTGAGACCAGCCTGGCCAACATGGTAAGACTGTGCACCTGCCTATAATCCCAGCTACTGGAGTAGCTGGGGTAGGAGAATCACTTGAACCCAGGAGGCAGAGATTGCAGTGAGCTAAGACAGCACCATTGTGCTCCAGCCTGGGCGACAGATCGAGACCCTGTCTCAAAACAAACAAACAAACAAACAAAAAAAACAGACTTCAATCAAGGAGCTTTTTGGATGCTTTGGTGCCATAGAATGTCAGTCACTGGCCATGGGGAGCGGTTAGGTCTCTTAGGGGACTCTGGGCAAGAAGTGCTGATGGAGGCAGTTTGCTGTGAGTCCAGTCCTGTCATTTTCTTTCCCAAGTCCCCACCCATCCTCAGAAGGGCCGGGTCATCCCAGGCAAGCAAGAGCAGATGGCCTGGCTGGTGGCTGAAGTCTTCCTACAAGACACTGTGGAGATCTGAACTCAGTTACCTTTCCCCTAGCAAGAAGGATGGGCAGGTGGTAACAGGTGGCAGCCAGGAGCAGGAAGAGATGGGAAAATAGTATTGGAAATGATTGACGGAAAAGGATAATCTGACCTGTGTGCTTTAATTTAATCCTTGAGCTTTGTCGGTTGAGTTTGAGGTCAGGGACATTGTTTTTTCCATTCGATGGGGACAGTTAGGGGATGAGGATCATCACTCCACACCCTGCTGCAGGCCTCTGTCCTCTACAATTCACCCCCTCCACAGACCACGGCTCCCTTCCCACAGCAAAGCCCCCAGGTTAGGCCCAGGGCAGGCAGGAAACCTCCAGAGGGGGAGCCCCTGATCTGGGGACACGCTGTCTAGAGCTAATGAGGCCATGGAAACAGCCTGGTTTATCTTCCCAAATGTAGGGAACCCCCCCAACCCCCACTTCATCCCCTAGCCCCTCAAGCTGTTCCAAAAGACAATTAAGGCCATTGGTTTAATCTTTTATGTGGAACAAAGGAAAAAGGGACTGACACCTGTTTAGCCTTTTGAGTGTGCAGAGCTCTGCCCACCTCCCTCCCACCCCTCAGCCCCAAATCCAAGATTTTGTAGCCCTCACACCCACCCAAGCAGGTTCCCTCACACACACCCTTTGTTTTCTTCCTCTTCCATGGTTCCTTAGGGAAAGGTGCCTTCTTTAGGGATGAAGAGCTACCTACAGCCCAGTCCTAGCCTCCAGCACCCCAAAATCAGCTCAGCCTCCACTGGAGGCGAGGGGGAAGAGCAAAAGGCATGGGGCTCCCCTTCCCCAGGAGCCAGTCAGAGCTGGGGAGGAAGGCAGAGGCGTCCTGGGGAGCTGTCACAGAGAGGAATGGGGTCAGGGAGTGGGGGTGACAAGTACAAATAAAGAGAAAGTTTGGGGAGACAGATGACAAGCCCAGCTATGCTAGTGACGTGGAGGGGAGGTGTGGTGAGAGACCAGCCATGGCCCTGTCCAACCCCGGGCTCCACCAGCCTCAAACTGGCTTTGCAAATCCAAACATTTTAAGGAAGGGGTTTGGGGTTGGAAGAGAAATGGCATAGAGGTCTGTGCTGTGGATTTTCATCTAGGGTGGTGGGAACCCCAGAGATGTCTCCTCTGCCATCGTTTTAGATGGCTCCCGGACCTCATCCCAGCAGAGGGAGGGTGACTGTCAGCAGGTCAGTCCTAGCGCCATGCCCCCCTCGCAGTGGGCCTCTGTGTCTCAGGCCTGGCCAGGCTCCCTGCCCCTCAGAGCTCCTCGTGGACCCGCTCCTGGTCCTCATCTGACTTTAGCTTCAGCTCCTCGACTGTGATCTTGCCGTCCTGGTTGCGGTCCTGGTTCTGGAACATGTCCCCTATGGTTTTCTCAGGGTCCTGCCCAGGCATGAGGCGTCCTTTGCCCTCACTCACTTGAGCCTTGATGAAGGTGGAGAACTGGGGGGAGGGGAGAGCCAGGGAAGTGGGGAGTGAGCATCACATGGCCTTGGGAGGGGCCCTGGGTGGAGGCCAGTGAGTGCTTTCTTTTTCTATCTTCCCAGGCTCCCTCACATGCCTCAAGGGCACTGGTGCTGGAGTCCTGGTGAGGGTGGGGGTGGAGGCATGGCATGGGGGGATAGTCCGTGACTGGGCTCGGGTAGGGAACAGTCTGCATGCGTTCCCAGGAGAAGGCGGGGATGAGGAGCCTGAGGCGTGGGGCTCAGCACAGGCAGGAGCACAAGGGCAGGTGGACAGGCCAGATGAGGAATGCCTTCTTCCTAGATGCCTCCTGGGTCGGAGGGGGTTCGTGAGCTTGGTTATTAGGACTGAACCTTCACCTACCTCCTCCGGAGGGACCTCTCCATCCTTGTTGAGGTCCATGTCTTCAAACAGGTTAGCAGGAGGGTCATCGTGCCACACAAACAGGTAGCCTGTGGGCAGCCCATCCTCCCGGGACACCAGCTCCACCTCAAACCGCAGCACAGCACTGCCGGGGACGCCCCGGGCTGGATGGAGGGCAGGAGAGGAGGGAGGGGTCCCAGTCAGGCCAGAGTCTGGGCCTTGCTTCGATGCTTCCCAGCCCACAGGCCTCAGTTTCCCTTCTTGGAGCTGGGCTGGAGAATGGCGCACAGGATATTTAAGGAGCCATCCCGCAGGCATTCCTGACTCCTCCCACCAGCCATCAGGCCCACAATGAGCAGGAGCAACAGGGACGGATGCCAGTCTCATAGTTTCGGACTGAGCACGGTGGCTCATGCCTGTAATCCCAGCACTTTGGGAGGCCAAGGTGGGTGGATCACCTGAGGTCAGGAGTTCAAGACCAGCCTGGCCAATATGGCAAAACCACATCCCTACTAGAAATACAAAAATTAGCTGGACATGGTGGCAGGTGCCTATAATCCCAGCTACTTGGGAGACTGAGGCAGGAGAATCGCTTGAACCCAGGAGGTGGAGGTTGCAGTGAGCTGAGATCATGCTACTGCACTCCAGCCTGGGGTGACACAGTGAGCCTCCATCTCAAAAAAAAAAAAATTACTTTTTTTCTCACTCCCTCACCTCCATTCTCCCCGTGGGCCAGGTGCGGGGGCACGATGAGCTGCCGCCTCTCTCCCACACACATGCCCTGCAGGCCCATGTCCAGGCCTTCGATCACCTTGTTGGCCCCCAGAGTCGCCTCCTGGGGGGCCCCGTAGTCATGCCTGGGGGAGAGCAGATGCCCAGGTCAGCAGCCACCCTGTCCCCTGTCAGCGTACACCCCACTCTCTCTGAGGTGGGCCCAGAACAAGCGCTCAGTTCCGGAGTCACTCCCACTGGTGACTTGGGCCACGCAGGAGAGTGCAGGGGCCCAGCAGTGCAGACGTGGGGTTCCCTTCTCATCTCGCCTCTGCCCCTAAAATGTAGCCTCCAGGGCTCATGGCTCCCGCATCAGTTTCCCCTCTGTGAAAAGGAAAGAGCAGTTCTCCCACAGTTGCTGGCTTCACCTTCCCTCCCACTGTAAAGCAGAGAATCTCATCTCATGGTTCCCTGACAGGCTCTGAAATGGGACTGAAAGAAGCAGGAGCCTGAAAGCTCCCCTGGGGCTCAAGGACCAAGAGGGAGGAGCAGGTGTCAGGGTGCTGTGAGGAGAACTCCCCATGCCTGAGCCCACCCACATGCCCAGCCCCAGCCCCAGCCCCACCCCGGACCCACGAGGTGAAGAGCTGGGTGCCGTCCAGCAAAGAACAGTTGTAGTGGTATCGAACAAAGTCGCCAAGCTTGGTGGTCTCATTGCAGGTCTCAGATGGCCGGGACAGTGTCTTGATTTCCACCACATCCGCAGGGTTGTGGAAGTCAATGACGTGGACGTTGAAGATGAGCACGGCCGAGCCAGGGATCTTGTCTCCTGAGGCCGGAATCGGGGAGTGTGGTCAGCTCAGAGCATGAGGAGAGGCTTCTTGAAGTCTCTCTATGGAGGCCCCTGGACCTGACACCCATGCCCGGCCCTGGGGAGCCAAAGGAGGGTGGGATGGGATGTTTGTCCAGAGTGAATTCTAACATACTCTCTCATTGGAGTGAGGGGCAGGGGAAGGCGGCTTTCCAGTTAGAAAGCTCTTTTCCACTCACCATTTTGCAAACTCCCAGTAACTTACCCTGCAGATCAGCATGGCTTGCCCATTTTACAGGTGAGGACACTGAGGCTCCCAGCACAGCTGGGTCCTGGGGCTATGCTGGTTCTGTTTTTCCACAACCACCCTCCCTCCTCAAACTCAGGAGTTGGCTGCCCTTCTCCACTAGGGAAGGGAGAAGTGGGGCGCCACCCTGGAGGAAATTGATGGAGTCCGTGTGGCAGGAATCAGAGTGACCAGATGTAAGCTGCATGCATGTTCTGTGATGAGTGGGGTCGAGTGGTGGCTAGAATCCCACTGTGGAGTGGGGATGAGGGGCGGCCTGGCCACGAGGGGCAGTTCAGGGTAGGAGCTGAGGTGGCGGCTGGGGAACGTCCCTACCAGTTCCATTTTCCCCGTAGGCGAGGTGTGGGGGGATGGTAATTCTCCGGCGCTCCCCTACGCAGGCGCCCTGCAGCCCCTGGTCCATCCCGGGGATGATGTAGCCCTGCCCGATATAGGTATTGTAGGTGTGGTTGCGGGAGTAGCTGCAATACAAGGCGGGAGGGCCAGGAAGGGAGTCAAAGGGGCCCTCCCCTTCCAGGCAGCTCAGAGTGCCCCCCCAGCTTCTTCCACATTTTGCCCAGCCCCTGCCCTCCCACCTCAAGACCCTCCGGACCTGGAATCAAACAGGGTGCCGTCCATCAAGGAGCCATTGTAGTGGTAGCGCATGAAGTCCCCAGCCACGGCTCTGCGGACACAGCCCGGGGGCAGCTCCAGTGTCTCTAGCTGGACAGTGTCCTTCGGGTTGTGTACGTCAATCAGGAGGACGTGAAAGACCAGCGAGGCCTGCGGGGGGATCACTGTCCCTGGGGAAGGGATAGGGCTTGAACCATACAGGTGGGGAGCAAGCCGAGGCTCCGCCGGCACCATGCAAGGAGACACTAGCCCCGCTCCAGAGCCCTGTCCTGTCCACCAGTAGCCCTGCTTCCTGCTCCTCCAGTAAGGCCTGAGCTGGGTTTTCCCCAGGGCCACCACCAGCTCATACTGAGCCTTCGTGTGAATCAGAATAAAGCACCCCTTCTTAGTGAGACGAGCACTAAGGGTAGAGTTCATCCCGCCTTGAGTCCTTGGCTGGATGCCCTTGTGCAGTATACAACCTGAGCAACTGTATGTGGAGGCCTGGTTATCCCTCTTCTGGAGAATTTCCCCTTGACTCCTTGCCCACCCTCACCATAGCCTTTCTCGCCATAGGCCAGGAATGGAGGGATGATAATCTTTCTTCTCTCTCCAGGACACATGCCCAGCAGCCCCTGGTCCATGCCCTTGATCAGCCAACCAGAGCCGACGTAGGTGTCGTAAGTGCCGCCCCTACTGTAGCTGCAGAAAACGAGGTGGGGGGGGAGAGGCTGGCTGGACTCCTGCTCCCCATGCCACAGTCCCCAGTGCCTCAGGGCTCCCCTCTGGCCCCTTACCTGGTATCAAAGGAGGTGCCGTCCAGCAGGGTGCCGTTGTAGTGGTAGCGGACAAAGTCGCCGTCCTGGACCATGCGGGGGCAGTGGGGCGGGCGCAGCAAGATGCTCACCTGCACAGTGTCTTCCTTGTTCCACACATCCAGCAGAACCACGTCGAAGTAGAGGGTGGCATCCGGTGGAATGAGCCCCGCTGTGAGGGCACAGCAGCATGGAGGTCTCAGAGCTGTGCTCTGCCAACCAGGATCCCAGCCAGGGGCCTTCCTCTCATCCCACACCGGGAGACCCAAACCAGGCACACAGCTGCCACTATGTTTGTTTGTTTTTTAAGAGATAGTGGGCTGGGCAGAGTGGCTCATGCCTGTTATGCCAGCACTGTGGGAGGCCATGGCAGGCGGATGGCTTGAGCCCAGGAGTTCAAGACCAGCCTGGGCAACATGGCGAAACACCATCTTTACTAAAAACAAAAAAAAATTAGGCCGGGCGCGGTGGCTCAAGCCTGTAATCCCAGCACTTTGGGAGGCCGAGGCGGGTGGATCACGAGGTCAAGAGATCGAGACCATCCT